AGGCGTTCGTGTGGTTGTAGAGAAGGAAAAGATGAAATGACAGGTTGTTGGTAAGGCTAGAGGGAAGCTCCGGACAGCGGGTCCTCGTCCCACTGAAGCCCCTACGGGGAACAACACAATTCCCTCTACCAGTTCTAATGGTGACTCCCCGACCAGCTATTTTGATAAACTACGACAGCAAAAATTAAAGTATGAGCAATTAAAGAAAAGCATCTTCCGACAAAGTTTGGCCCTTTTTTTCCTCTGCACCGTCTTCCCCTCTAACAAAACAACATTTAGTGGTTCCTCCTCCAGTCCTGAGATCCGCATCTCCCACATTCTCTAAAATGGCATCCTTAAAAAGGACCCCCCCCACCCAAGTACATAAACCAAGGACCATCTCACCTCTTCTAGTACCCCCATTACTCCTAAACCATCCGCTAAATGGGATGAAAAGCAATCAGCGGGTACAAGACGGTGACAGGGGCAAAGATCAATCGTGATAAGTCTGTTGGCATGCGGTTGGGTGCGTGGAAGGGAGTTCTCTTCCCGGACTTTTTCTCTGGATCGACGGGCTGATCAAAATAATCGGCGTCTGGTTCGGTCCTGATATTCAGTTGGAAATGAATTGGTCGGAGGTACAAGGGAAGGCCGAGATTGTAGTTCGTCTGTGGTCTCGAAGGAATCTTTCCTTGAAGGGGAGGGCGGAAGTAGGTGTTTCGCACATCTACCCGATTCTCCTTTACCGACTCTCTGGGCTTCCACTTCTTTATACCAGACTGATTTCATTAGCAAGGCTCTTTTCCTCCTTTTCGTCTGTGTGTGGGGGGTAGCAAAGCCGCTAGCGTATTTCAGGAGATCTGTTACCTCGACCCTTCTGAAGGCTGACTGGGTATGCCTAGAATTGAGATTCGTCAATATGTGCTTCGCATCGCGTTCCTAGATCGAATGTGCCGCGATTCGGCTGAGGAGGGCACCTTCTAAAAGGAAGACGCCCGTAAGAACTTCACATCCTTCCTTGTGATAATAACAACAAAGATGAGGACAATAGTCCGAATGTAAATAGTATAAATAATAACTCCTCATTCCAGAAATACAGACAGAAAATTTATTGATTGAAGATATTCCTTTTAATCATTTCACCCCAAGCAAGGCGATAAAGCGACTAAAGCGCAAGGGGTTACTGAGTGTCAAAATTGCTACAGGTTACTGAGTATGAAAGAATGCCAAAAAAAAAGAAGAAAAATAATAAGTTTTTTCCCATTATGCTCTGAACGCAAAAATGAGACTTCATCACGTGTATATTTGTGTTATGGTCCAAGGTTAGGACCCAAGGAAGAACAACACGAACACAAGAGTAGAAATAACGAAGGTATATTACACGAAATAATAATACAAGGTGTGGAACGTGTTAGTATGACTGTCAGTCTAGTTGGGAATGAACTACTATCGGCTCGACTCGATTCGGTATCTAGCCCCCCACCACCACGTGGGCTGCATGTGGCAAAGGTCGAATGAGGTTACTTCCCCAGAACGAGACTCTGCCCTTCGGCGGAGCCTCGTCCGGGTTCCTCTCTGCTCAGAGGTAGAGAGTTCGACCGTCCGAGAAGCTCCACGTTTCACCCTCTCTCTTGGAGGCGTAGTATAACAACAGGAAGAGTTCATTCTGTAGTTATAGGTAGGACCCATGAAATTTAATTGATTGGTTGTTTTTTACGGCTTATCAACCCATTGCAAGTTATTTAAAGCCAGACAATATTTCTAATTGTAAGAGTTTGTTGCAAATTTAGTGATATGTTTTAATAATGATCTAGTGATATGTCTTCTTACCACCCGACATGGTTAGTGGGAATAAAAGGTGGAGTCATGCCTTTCTTAAGTGTATTTGTGCGTAAGTCATAACGAAACCAGCGGGAATTGGAACTGATTAACAATTCCGAACCATTATTCATTACACCAACCGCACATCCAATTTTACAGCAGTTGCTAATTACCCGTTTATGAACGTCGCTTAACTACAGTGATCGTACGAGAACCGGTGTTTCAACGTGATACGGCTGTAAGCTCAGGTGTATATTGATCTGGGTGACCTCAAATAGCGTAGTGGTTTAAAACACCAGTTCATGAATTTGGTGAAATAGTCATTGTGAGTTCAATCCCAGGACTGGGAAGTCTGTGAGTCAGTGGAAAATGGGGGAAGCAATAATTAAGCATTACTTAAATTAGAACTAAACGTGATATTGCTAGAAATGGGCTGTGGAACGAGAACAGTCTACCCCCGTTGATTAAATAAAGGGTTCAGTTCTGAATTACCCATTGGTTACCCAGATCAATATCCACCAAAACGTTGTGATAACAATAAAAAAAAAACTTAGTGTAAATAATCAATGGTAGACATTTAATCTTTCTGCACCAACATTTACACGTTGTTTATTATAGGAGCATAAATAAAATCTTCAACAGATTAGCCGAAGCGCTTGGTATCAACAAATATTGAACAATTTCTACGTTCATTAAGTACATAAAAGAAAACTCTTGTGCACATACAATAAAAATTTTTTAAAAGCATTACTTGTCTGCATTGTTTAACATTAGTACAACAACAACACATATCAAATTGATTGCTAGGTCTGCTGCTTAGAAAGTAACTTCGCAGTGTCTCTCAACAAATATATAGAGAGGAGGCACGGTGAGGTAATGGATAGCGGCTTGGATTGAGGAATCGGAGAGCCGAGTTCGAATTCCAGTCGAATCCATTACATTCACTTACGTGCTAATACCCTTGGGAAAGGTATGAATCCTCTTCTTCTCCCTCTGCCCAGCTATTGGTAAATAGCAGGAAAGACTGGGTTCTATAGCCTTGGATGGCAACTGGTCTAGAAGGACAACTCTGAATTCAAAACCTGCGAAGGGTCGTTTGGGGACCTTGTGGCACGTAGTGTACAAGATCTCTATATTCGTCCCTTCAAAAAGTGTGGATGGTCCTGCACGAAACCTTCACCATTATCAAATATGAAATCCCCAGCAGATATTACGTCATCATCACTGCGAAACTGGTTCCCAGCCAAGTGTTTTTCATGTCGAGGAACAGATAGTAGTAAGATGTGGCCAAATCAGAAAATGCTTAGAATGATCAACCAATTCAAAGGCACAGTTCGCACAGCAGCCATTGGAATAAAAGACCCGTGTGCTGGAGCATGGCCCTAATGAAACAAAACCTTCTCGATAGCTTTTTTGTAATTGCCTCAGCAAGTTGACATAATACTCGCCATTGATGTTTGCACTTTTGAAGATAGTCAATAAACGATACTTTTTGCAACCCATAAAACTGAAGCCATCATCTTCTCTGCCGGTAAAACAACCTTGGCCTTTTTTGGAGAAGGCGAGGTGGATAGTTTTCACTGCATGGATTTTCTCTTTGTTTCTGACCTAGAGTGATGAACCCAGTACACACCGTGATTTAGGAAACGTTCAAGGAAACCAGCTGGACCTGCCACAAACAATGTCAGATTTTTCCTGTGATGTAATCAGCCTGATTGGCGTCAGACGATGTGGCACCTACCGTGCAGACACCTTCGTCATGCCAAGTTCATTGTGCAGAATATTCCTAATTCACACACTAACAGCACTGGCTATTTGATTTATAGTCAAACGCTTGTTATCCATCACCATGTGGTGATCACGATCAAGGTTTTCTTCGGTGTTGGTAGTTTGCAGGACGATCAGACTTTGGGCCATCTTCAAGACTCTTCTTCTACTTCTAAATTCAGCAGCCCACTTTTGCACAATTGATAAAGTCTGGGCGCCATTTTCAAGATAAGTCGCTACTAGTTACGTTTGCAGTTTTCTTTGAACAATCAGATGTCAGTTTATCTGCAAAGAAACAATGCAGTTATTAATAAGTTGACTTGAAATGAATGCATGCAAGATTTCACAACTCCGACATCACCTCATTCATTGTCAGCCTATGAACTTTTCAGCCCGCCTTCATACCCGGAAAGAAACAATGTATTTATTAATAAGAGTTAAAATGAATGCATGCAAGGTTTCACGGCTCTAGCATCACTCCTTCATAGTCAGCCTATGATCTTTTCAGCCCACCCTCGTACCTAGAAAGAAACAATACAGTTATTAATAAAAAGAGTTAAAGTGAATGCCTGTAAGATTTCACAGTTCTAGCATCAATCCTTCATAGCCAGCCCATGCACTTTTCAGTCCACCCACATACTGGAAAAATAATGCAGTTATTAATAAGAAGAGTTGAAAGTAATGAAAAAATTTAATTTTCTTGACAGCTTTGGTAATTTTTCTTCAAAAATATATTGCTGCTAATTTTTTCTATGAAACTGATCATTGCTCCTAAATTTCTTACTACGAAAATTTATTTTTTATTCTCATGTTTTAATCCCAGTGTGGGGATTTATTATTTGACTGTAGCTGGAACCCTAACAGGTGCTACCACCCTGGCTCTGGGTGTTCTTGGGAACAACACTAATTAAAAAGTATGCAGTTATTAATAAGAAGAGTTGAAATTAAAGCATGCAAGATTTCACAGCTCAAGGATCACACCTTTATAGTCAGTCTATGAACTTTTCAACCCCACCTCGCATATATATATATATATATATATATATATATATATATATATATATATATATATATATATATATATATATCAATTATATATATAATTAATATATATAAAAAAAATAGAGAGAGAGATGGCGGGTGACGGTGTGAGTGAAAATTAGAGTGTCTGTGTGTGTGTGTGAGAGAGAGAGAGAGAAAAGAGAGAGAGAGGTTCACATACATACATAAGTAGTCATATGTATACTTTGTGTACAAAGAATTTAGACAAAGAACAAAGACTGCTTAGTTGCAAAAAGAAATCCAATCGTTGGCGCCAAGACTTCAACCCACAGGGGAAAAGCCCCACATTTATGACAAACTAAGGGTAAATAAAAAAAAATTACCTACACTGAAGCACCTGGAATGTTTTAAAGGAGTTGGGAAATACTTACACGAATGGCAGTGAAGAGGAGGAGGAGCCAAGAAGAAGAAGTAGAAGAGGAGGAGGAGGAGGAGGAGGAGGCAAGAAGAAGAAGAAGAGGAGGGGGAGAAATAAAAACAAGAGGTAGATGAAGAAAGAGGGTGTAGAAGGTGGTAGAAAAAGGTAGAGAAAAAGCGTGGAGGTAGTGGAGGAGGGTGAAAAAGAGAAGGTAAAAGTGAAAAGTGAAAGAGAAAAGGTGGCAGAAGAAGAGTAAAAAGAGTACAGAAAGAAAGGGAAAATGTAGTGGTTGAAGAAGAAGAAGAAGAAGAAGAAGAAGAAGAAGAAGAAGAAAGAGGAAGAAAAGAAAAAAAGGAAGGCGAGGAAGAAGCCGGAGAAGAACAAGAAGAAAAATGAGAAAAAGAAAGAGAAGAAAAAGAAGAAGAAAAAGAAGAAAAAAGAAGAAGAAGGAGAAGTAGAAAAAGAATAAGGAGAGGCGAAAAAGAAGAAAAGAAGAAGAAAAAAAGAAAAAGTAGAAAAGAAGAAGTAAAAGGATAAATGATAAGAAAAAGAAGAAAATATAAGAAGAAGAAAGAAGGAGAAAGAGCTGATGAAAAAGGAGAAAAATAAGGGAAAGAAAAAGAAGGAGAAAAAGAAGAAGAAAAAAGAAGAAGGAAAAGGAAAAGAAGAAGAATGGAAAGAAAACGAAAATCTAAACGAACACGACGAAAAAAGATGATTTTGTAGAGGAAGAAAGAAAAGAGATGAAGAAATGAATAATAATTAGGGATGAAAAAAAAGAAGGAGAAGAAGAAGCAAAAGAAAAAGAAGAAAAAGAAGAAGGAGAATAAAATAGGAAGGAAAAAAGGAAAAGAAAATGAATCGAAATCGAAAAAGCCAATAAAAAGGTAATTCTGCTGCGATGAAAAACTTGTAAAAGACTTTA